GTCTCGCCGACTCCCGCGCAAGGTGGGAGAAGAGGTACGGCCGGCGGGCGGCGGCGGTCGCCGCGTGGGTACGTGAAAGTGATCGTCTATTCCATCTAGGCGTCGCTCGCGTCGCTTCGGCTTGGAGAGCGCCGGGGCGCGTAACCAGAAAGCGGCCTCTTCGCCGCCATAGCGCCCGTAACGACCCGACGCCGACGCCGCAACCCGCGCTCCCGGCGGGGCGGAGACAGTGTCAGCTGTCAGGCGTCCACGTTGCCGTGGGCTTAGCACACGCGACAGCCCCGCCTGCCGCCACCCCAGCGGGCACGCAAGGACCACTGAGGAAGAGTGTGGGATGTGCAAATGCTGTTAAATGCTATGGCGCATATGGGATACGAAAAGTGAATATCGTAATGGTTGTTTACTATGCAGAGTTTGTTGGAATCTTGAGTCAACAAACAGAGAATGAAATTTTTTTTCTTACGGCAGCGTCTGTAAAATATATTTTGCAACTTGTCCGTTAAGAACAATCTGTCAGGAAAAGTTAGTCAACATGACAATCGAATTATATTATTAATAAATTTGTTTCTGTTGATATTATTTTCTATAGAGCATGTATTACGAAAAATATTAAACGAACGCATCTGATAACATGTGAAAACAAACACCCCCCCCCATCTCGTTTGTATTGTCTATTCATATTGTCCTAATGATGTTAATAACCATAACGAGTAGTTGTGGGTTATAAATTCGTGTGTGACGGCAATACATCTTAAAAAGAATTACTTTTCCAAAGCGCTGGTGACGCTCCTAATTCGTTTACGTTTCTGTCAACAGACTCATTCTGATCTACAGTCTCGTTTCGTATTTCCTAATGGTATTGTCCTAATGATGTTAATAACCATAACGAGTATTGTGGGTTTATAAATTCGTGTGTGACGGCCAATCATCGCAGAAGAGAATTACTTTTCCAAAGCGATGGTGACACTAATAATTGTATCTACTCTAATTAAAGGGCAAGAGACTCTTTCCCAATCCTCGTTGCGCAGATGTACATGTTATCAATATTACAACTGCGTAAATACCTTCGTCAAGAAGCTTACTCAGTTTGTCCAAGGAGAGAAAGTGAATATGGCAAAATAACGTATTAATATATTATACAGTGAACGGATTATTCAAATTAGATACACAGTAATCTACACATTCAACGTAGTTCAGAAACACAGGTATCAAGCAATTCGTTGAACACCACAAACGTGACCAGGCAAGAATCTCTCGCCTGCCCACTGCCACGCCCCTTGCAATTGGATTATCATGGAGAAGGGAATTTGATTATGTGAACATTTCCAAAAATATCATTCGCAGGAGCTGAGCTAGAGGGATGGATGCGCAGGTACGCTCCGATACGGTGTTCGTCGCGCTGTGCGTCTGTCTCGGCGCGAGCGGAGTGGAGTGGGAGTGGGGGTGGGGGAGTGGGGGCACTGTGCGCTCAATGCCTTGAATGGCGCCTCTCTAGCGGCCTGGTGCCTGTGCCCGTGCCTGTGACGCCGTGGCGCCGTGCTGGTGGGTGGGAGGGGCCGGGGAGCGTGTATCCGGTGCGTGGCGCTTTGCTGACGTGGCGTCGGAGTCGCTACCTGTGTGCGTTGGTGAATGGGGATAATGTCGTTAAGATAGCAAAACCTCGCCTCTCAGAAATAAAACGATTCCTTTAGCTCAGAATCAGCATTGTGCTGTATATACAGCAACTCTGACTGGGAGGTCGAAGGTCTCGGGTCCCGTTGGTGGCGGGTTAAAAAATGAATACATTTGAATTGACGTATCTATTTTTAATTTTTTTTGTTATTTAAGGTCGCATTAACATCTAAGTCTTTATCGACTACTATTGCATTGAACGGTATGGTAACTGTGGAGATGACTTGATATAGTGACTTGATGAGGGGGGTGAAAGGGTTTAACGTAATGGTAACTATGAAGATTATACGATATGGTGGTGATAGGGGAGAGAAGGGACGAACACAAACACAACCATGCCAGAGGCGGGACTTGAACCCGCGATCCTTCAGTCCAAGTATCTATTGTTTCAAGATAGTTCCGATTAATTAGATACTTTTTACCCTCTTTTTTATTGCAATCCATTCGTAAGACTGTATTGATTTTGCGATGTTCATATTGACTTCATTAGAAGTCCTATCTTAGTCACCATGTAGATTCAAAATAAAACAAGTTGATAAGCATTTTGTGCGACAAGAAATTGTGGTTGTGAAATATGAGAGAGTAAGGTGTTCAAGGGAGGAACATTTTCAGAGGCTTATAAAACTACTTATTATTATTATTATTATTTAAAAGCATTACTACATCATTATGTTAATTTGTACTTTCTGACGTCCAAATCAGTGGGTTGATCAATTAGTATTAGACTTGCTTTCATGGGTGAATTCTTTAAATAGTGTGAATTAAAATGTCTTATCAAGAAAATATTTTTTTTAAATCACTGAAAAATCGGGAAATGTCAGGAAAATTTGTACGAGAAAATGAATGGCTACCCTGTTAGGGCACTGGCACCGTATGTGGCTCAGTAGTGTTGAACCGAGAGCCCAAGCAAACTTCCTCTTGGCGAAATGCGCAGGTATGGACACTTCCCGCGGATTTATGTAGATTCAATATAAATATTTATATACATGAAGATGTATATTATCTATACAAAATATATAGATCTACGATTATATAAACCTACCTGCAGTCCCTCTCGGCGGAATTCGCGTTTTGAAAGATTGCAGCACGACATCCGAAACTTGACATCTGCGCAAAGGACGCGGCGTCTCCCGGACAGCCAAGTAGATAATGCAAGGTGGGGCATTGCAACCGTGCTTGACCTAAGGCGCCCTGCACAGGGCTCGCAGTCAAGCGCCGCGCAAAACGGGAGGCAGGACGAAAGCGTAGGGTTCCGCGGCGGCATCTTCTTGGGTGCCCGAGAGTCGCCTCGTCCAAGGAACAAATACCAAAGTTTCACCGTTATGCTGCGACTTTTCGCAGAGCGAAATTCGACTGTTCTCATGGTGACATGCACTAGGGTTTATATAGATTTATATACATTTATAGAGATCATATAGGTTGATATCTGTATAAACCCCTTTGCATCGAATCTCCGTGCATTTCGCCCTGAGGAATGTGCACCATGACAGTCGAAACGTTGGCATCTAGGGCGAGGCACCTCCCGGACAGCCAAGTGGATAATGCAAGGTAGGGCTTGGCCCAGTTGTGCTAAACCGAGGGCGCCCCAGCGCAGGGCTCTCGCAGTCAAACGCGCCCGTGGAAGTGGGCGGCCACAAAGTGATTCCACAAATTCTGCCCCGCGTCGTTCTTGCGCTGCCGTGTTATCTCTGCCGCCGCACCTCGTTTGCGGCGCTGCCTTCGCGAGGCGCTCCCAGTTGCCTGCATAGTTTGCGCTTCTGCTGTATTTTGCACCTCGCATTCCGTTGCTGTCATCCCTCACGCCGCTCTGCATACAGCGCCGCTTCAGCCGCATCGGGCTTTGCCTGACCCGCTTCAACTTCACTCCCCCTCCTCCACTTAGGTCGCCCCGCCCCCCTTAGCGCAGTATAATCTCCCAACTTGGTGCTGCAGTTTCAGTGTGCACTTGCCAATCCGCCCGTCTGCACCTAATGCTCCACAGTCGTGCCTTTGTGGGTGTACGATGCAAGTACACTATTACCTCTTAGACCCATGGGCAAAGAAAAATTTCGTTCCCTACGCTCATGTACGCTAGAACTTTTTTTATACCTTAATAAAAATGTTGGGAAAACATTTCTCGATGTAACCAACATTTCTCGATGTAACCAACCGGAATGCGCTCTGCGAGTGCTGCCTAGCGCGTCCTGCACTCTGTTTGCACTGTGTACTTCGCTCAACAGCGGTACTAATTTTTTCTCGTGATATTGGCTTGAGATATACGTTGGCTTTGTGTGACTTAACTTACAAACATTTTTCTAGTATCGTCTGTTCAATTTGGCCTCGATATTCGAACAGAAGACACGTCCAAAGTACTAAGTATTCAACGACCAAAACGATAATATAAACGTTGATGTGAAGTAAACGTCGGATTTGTGTGACTTAACTTACAAATATTTTTCTAGTATCGTCTGAACAATTTCTCTCGATATTCGAACAGAAGACACGATCAAAGTACTAAGTATTCAGCGACACCAACCGTAATTACGTAATAATAATTATTTAGCCTGGCTGATTCCTTTAAGCGTCGCGTAAATAGATTTGTAAAACAAATTCTTCTGGGTACTAATGAGTTAAATTTAAGATCTGAAATCAGCCCTTAGATTGCCCGACCGCCGTATAATGCCCCCATTGTGGGCTGCAGTTTCGATGTGCACTTGCAAACGCGCCCGCGTGGACTAAATGCTCCACAGCCGTGCCTTTGTGGGTGTATGATGCAAGTACGTCGCGCTACCAATCTTAAAAACGTTTTTTTTCGTGATGCTGCCTTGAGTTGAGTGTTCACATTGTGTGATTTTAGGTTACAAACATTCTCTTTAGCGTCACCTATCGAAATTACGTCATTATAATTATTTAACCCGGTTGATTCTTTTAAGCATCGCGCAAATGAAATTGTAAAACAAATTCTTCTTGGTACTAATGAGTTAAATTTAAGATCTGAAATCAGCCCTTAGATTGCCCGACCGCCGTATAATCTCCCCATTGTGGGCTGCAGTTTCAATGTGCACTTGCAAATGCGCCCGCCTGGACCTAGTGCTCCACAGCCGTGCCTTTGTGGGCGCAGATGCAAGTCAATCGCTCAACCGCGCTACCGATTTCGAAGACTTTTTTCTCGAGATACTGCCTTGAGATTCTCTTAGCATCGCCTGTACAAGTTAGCCTCGCAGTTTGAATAGGAAACACGTACAAAGTGCTAAGTATTCAGCGCCACCTACTGTAATTACGTTATTATAATTGGTTATCATTGCTGCTTTATTTAAGCGTCGCGTAAATGGAGTTGTAAAACAAACTCTTCTTGTTACTAATGAGTTAAATACAAGATCTGAAATCACCCCTTAGGTCGCCCCATCGCAGTATAATCTCTCAACTTTAGGATGCAGTTTTATGACGCACTAGCCAATCAGTCGGTGTGGGCCTAAAGCTCTACAGCCGTGACTGCGTGGGCATACGATCCAAGTACATCGCACTACTTGAAATGTTTTTTCTTGTGATACTTGAGATAAACGTTGATTTTGAGTGACCTTTCGTTACGAACATTCTCTTAGCATCGCTTGTACAGTTTAGCCTCCATGTTTTGACAGGAAACGTGTCCAAAGTGCTAAGTATTCAGCAGCATCTACCGTAATTACGTTATTAAAATTAGTTATCCTCGCTGCTTTACTTAAGTGTCACATAAACGGAATTAAAAAAAACTCTTCTTGATATTAATTAGTTACATTTAAGGTCTGAAATCACGTTCAAAACCTTCCGTGTCAAAATAGAATCTGGTTATGTCCCTTGCTAATAGAGAGGGACGAAACGATAACTTTAAATAAAAAAGAATTTTGGTAAAACGAGCAAATTTTTATGTGTATTTCTCTAAAAAATCAATCGCCATCGCTCCCAGCACTTTCTTCAGCTGCGCCATTTCGACCCTCAGCCGAAACGCTTTCGCCCTGAGTGTTCCACTCTCCCCGCCCGTCCTCCTCCATCACCCCCCTCCACTTTCTGGCAGCATTTTCTGTCGGCGGCGGGGGCGCGATTGCGGAGAAAAGGTCTTGCGGCCCTCCCCCCTTTTCTGCCGCTGTCCCCCGGTCGCCCCCCTCTTTCCCACGCCGGTAGCACCTCTCTTCGTCGAGTGGTTTTATGGGCTTAGAGACAAGGACCAGCGGGAATTTGCATGCTCTTCGTCGTCATTAGATATCTGATACTTCTCTCTCGCGCGGAGCGGCGCCGCGCCGGCGCGAAAGGGAGCGACGCGACCCCCCCTTTGCGCCACTCAGCCCCCCTCGGGTCGCCTATCCTCGCTCCCAAGGGCTCAAGGTGCTTCGTGGCCCCGAAGCCGCCAGGCCGCGCCATGCTGCAACTCGTGGGCGTTGCATTTGTACGCAAAGTTGGCGCTAACTGCCGTGGGTACATCGTTCCTCCAGAGGGTGAAGGTTTTTAGAAGTACACGTATGCGTTTTGTGACTACGTGGGTACGGGTGTTCCTTAAAAGAGAACGGATATGAGTGAGTTATATAAGGTTTATTTACAAGTATACACTATGATGTCGTAGGCTTCCGCGGCCAGAGTCATGATCTGGCCTCAGCCATCGACGCGGACAGCCCAGATCAAGTATACATTAAGTACAATATACAAGTTCTCACTCTAAGGGCTGATTTCAGATTCTAAATTTAACTCATTAGTAACAAGAAGAGGTTTTTTACAATTCCATTTACGCGACGCTTAAAAAAAAGCAGCGAGGATAACTAATTTTAATGACTTACTTAGCTCTTTGAACGTGCTTCCTATTAGACACCCACGTACGAAAATTGATATCAATTGTAGCATTGAAAACAGATAAGAACATGTGATTTTTCATATAATATATTCTTTTGAAACATTGAAACTTACTACGTGGTGCCTTCTTCATGATCCCACGTCATACAATGATTGTGCACGCTGAAAGTTTAATAATATTTTTTTCACATTCTTTATTAATCACTGTGCTAATGTAATTATTTGGCGCTAATTAAAAAAAATATAGATTAAATCGTTTAATCTTTAACGAAAACATAATTCGTTTCTCTTCTTTTTCGGCCTGCAGGTTATCCTCGTGCCTCACTCCCACAACGACCCTGGATGGTTGAAGACCTACGAGAGCTACTACCACTACCAGACTCGGAACATCCTGAACAACATGGTGGACAAGTTGCAGCATTTCCACAACATGACCTTCATGTGGACGGAGATCGCGTTCTTTGCGCAGTGGTGGGAAAGGTGAGTGCATCGCTTGGAGGTCGAATGGCGTTGTTTTATTGCATATTTGGGATATCATTCCCTTACACCTCAGATGTGGGTTTATTATGAAATAATTATATCAATCGTCATTGCCAACAATATTGTTTAATATTTATATATTTATTTATTTACGTAAAAAACAGTTAAAAACTGTATGTGATGTGCTATGCGGAGAAGTTAATTTGAAGTTACATTTATGTCCATAAATGCCCAGACCATCTGAGTACTTGCTCAAGGATCAGGGAAACTGGACGAAAACCTTATCGAGATGGGGGTCATTGATCCAGATGCTGAAGTACAATACTTGTTACCGGTTCTCTAGAATTATTCAATATAAATGGTAAATAATACTCTAAATGTCTTTGTTAAAATTAATATTACTTTCCTTTTGGATGCTCGGTATAGTCTCCAATTGTATCGAAATAGTTGTGCAGCAGACAAAATTTAAATAGAACATAAACTTTAGCATGGAATTTAATCGTCTAATGTCATCTGGCAATGTGTAAAATAATGTACATGCAATGTATGTGAATTTTTTTAGTGAGCTGTTGATACTGTTGCCTGATAAATATGATGAAAATGTCGAGTATTGTAGTTATAGACATCAGGATTTGCTGAAAATATATTCACGCTCTTAAGTCAGTAATTTTTGACGAAAACCATTGATTCATATATCAAGAGACAAGGTAATAGTAAGATACCTAGATTGATTAAGAGAGGCTTACAAGAAGAGGCTTGCTTTATATAATTATAATAGCAGCTTTTGATGGCTTAGCCATCATCATCAGTTTTCTGCTCTATGGAAGCCACAAAACGTCGTTTACTGGTAGTCGACTACAGTGGTGCCTTCCATACAACAGAAAACCGATAATGATGGCTAAGCCATCGAAAACTGCTATTATAATTAATAATATTGTTGGCAATGACGACTCATATAATTCTTTCATTGTAAATGCCAAAGATAACTCACCACAATACCAAAAGAAAATTTATAATTTTTAACTAGTACAACAAGTATACAATGCAAAACTACCAAGGCTGAAAGTAACTTACCGAAGAAAAATATTTGAATTCCGATATTTTGAATAACGTATATGATTTTAGTTGTTATCTACAAAAACAAAGAATTATCAGCTTCCTTTTTTATTTGAAAATATTACTGTCCAATACTATAATTTAAAACATCTACTTATTTCATATTTTAGTTCTGCCGTTAGGTGAAATCCAAAGAATATTTCATTTTGTGATAAATGTCTGAACGCCAGTGTTGCGTGTGGATAGTTAGATATGTTCCTTCAAACCGAGTTTCAATTCGAAAACCGATTCTATACGTTCCGTGTGTCACGAGAGAATGGGCACATTACGCTTGTACTCAAAAAAGAATAGGAGCAGATCCAGGCAGCCATTGATTCTTTTCAGTGCTTGGTACTCCATAAGTGATGTTATATATCAAGCCTCCCAACCTTTAAAACATAATGATGCTTAATACGACACGCGTAGTGCGTGACTTACCCTCGTCTGAAATGAAACACGCGGAATTCGTCTTCTAAAATGCAAAAAAAGAATGTTCTCAGTGTGTGAAAATACTAGATTTATGTTGTGAGCACTAAAGGCGTTAAGAATAAGTTTAGATATCACTGGTCGCTTGTTCATTTTGTCAAGCTGTGATTTCGTATGAGTGGTCTGAAGGAAGTCCGTGCCGCCCTTCTTCTCTTGGTGACTATAGCACAGAATGTAATCTACTGGATCTTTGACATTCAGTAACTTGCACTAGTTTATAAGTAAGGACATATTTTTATGACCTCAACAAACGCCAAAAATTATCAATAAAATGCTATATATGTTTTAAAATGCTCTGAAAGCAAAGAAAATTTACGTAATTTTTTTTTATCAAAACCCGTTCAGAGGAACAACTCAAGCTATTGGATATGTTACTGATGTACTTGTGGATTCTTCATTTCGTTCAAGTGAACTCGGCTTGCAAACTTTTGGTTTGGACTGTTCTTCAGCAGGAAATATCTGTCTTTATTTATCCGGAAATAGGTCGAACTGACAGTGGCGCTGATAGATGTCACGAGAACTTTAGATTACATACATACAACGGTGCCATTACAACTTCTGAGCGAGAAAATTGAATAGCTTACTCAGCAATTCTGTGAACGTTTGTTGCATAACGTAAATATTATTTGAAGCACGTACCACTAAAATGATATTAAAATCGATAGACTCAGCGAAAAAAACTTTAAAAATGGCGGAAAAGGGTAAAAAATGTTGTCATAAGTAACATAATATTAATATCTATGCGCAAGTCATTGTTTTAAAGTGAAAAGAAAAAATGACAATTCATTAAATCCACCGCCCATTTTTAACTACTCGCAGGTGACGAAGCTGCTTGCCTCTGAGAGAAACGTATTCTACCGCAATCACTTGCAACGATTCGCGCGGTTTTCATTCGAACAAACTGTCTTTTAAGAGACGCTAGCTTTTACGGAAAAATATTATATTCAATTCGCCTGATGCCACTGCTGGATAAATTAATGCTGCCCTCTAGAGGTAAAGTGACGAAACATTTATATGTTTTAACGCTCATTGCCTCAGACCTTTCACGTTTAATTCGCGCGATTTCGAGGAAATTACATGGTCAAATCAAAAACGCACGAGATTTACATTCAGTTCGTCCGAAGTAGGACTTACTATCATGGAGGAGATGCTGACACCAAATTTAAGGAATGCAAAATCAGACGTGTTGCAATTTTTTTTCGGGATAAGAAAGATCTCCCTGTTGAAGGTAATTATGTCAGGTACTTTTTTATGTATAGTAAATTGATAACACGTTTCTTTAAATACCGACTCGTGCAGAATATCCCGTACGTAAATCCGCAAAGTGGTGCAGAACGTCCTAACCCCTAACACCGAACTGGGAATCTAACTGGAGCGTGCGAGTTCGTCTCTCGGGCGTCCGCACGTTCCTTTGCGCATATCCATCATAACTAAAAGCCCCGCGCCGCTTAAAGTGCACCCTTTCAACGCGCGACCTACGCCCTCGCGCCCCGGCCGCTTGCCTTTGTGCTGTGCGCGCGCGCCCGC